TGAGGATGCCCAGTCAATTGTTGACTACTTCGAGGACACCTGGATTGGACGCCCGCAAAGAGACCAACGTCGTCGCGCACCAAAATTTCCCCTTGATATGTGGAGTTGCTACCAGACTGTGATAGAAGGACTGCCAAAAACAAATAATTACATTGAAGGATGGCATCGAGCTTTCGAGGCTCAAGTTTCTGCAGCTCATCCCAATAGGTATATGGAAATTCATAAAAGCTTTACAGCGGGAGCAAAGCGTACATGAGATTCAGATAGAACAATACGCAGGAGACCTAGAAGGCTCGCCTCAACGTAAAAAGTACCGTGATTGTGCTGAACGAATATCAGCTCTTGTAAGTAAGTATGAAGAGGGGACCCTGTCTGCTTACTTACGTGGTATAGCCCATATCCTTCATTACTGAAAAAGGATTCATGGATAACGACTTTTTTGTATAACAAACGGTTCTTTCTAGAACCACAAATATATATTTGATATGATAGAATATATTTTTTTAATGTAATATATTTGTCGGGGAATTGTTTGTTGGGGAATGCTCCTATCGGGGAATTTTCCAGTCGGGGAATTGTTGTCGGGGAATATTCCAGTCGGAGAATTGTTGTCGGGGAATATTCCATCGGGGAATTTTCCTAGACCCCCTTTTATAGATTTGACTTTGTGCACGTAAGTTTGCGATGCCGGCGCACTTGCTCTTGTTCTTGTTGGATTGCATGAACTAAGTATTTGCGTTATTATAACAATAAGATAATTTACTTAGCTAGATATTTATTCATGGAAGCAGGTATCATATTTTATTATATTTCCTGAATAGATACCCTATAGACACACAATATTTCAAATATTTTAAAAACATTTTTTTTGTTATATCTAAAAGATTTATTTGAAATATATTAACTACCTATATTTTATTTTTTTATTAAATAAATAAATAAATTGATAATGATCGTCATTTTTACATTATTGTAGATAAATAAACTTAGTTCTTTTGTAAATAAACAATAAAGGAAAAAGAGAAAATCTCAAAGTTTGTTGTGTTATGGAAAACTATCTATCTTGTCGAAGGGAACCAATAGTTTTTTTGTCGTGGAAATAAAAGTTAAATTTAATAAGTGTGGTCTCAGGAATAATAAAATGTAGAGGAAACAAATAATTTTTTACACCACTCTCTCCTAGTTGTGACGTCCTAATTATTTGATAGTTATCACATTCAGAATATCAAATTTAAAATAAAAAAAATTACGTATTTATCGGTAACGGTTTTGAAAATATCGTCAGAAAACCTCTTCAGGGATTCTCTTCAAAGGAGCGTTGCTCTTATAAGGCATTTTTGGATACATGTTTATAGGAACTTTTTGCTTTATTTTTACCATTATAATACGCAGTTAAAATATTTACCTGTAATTTTGGAACATATCCTGTATAAATGAAAAGTCAAAAATATTTCATAGCCTTATACACGGTTTTTTAAAGTGTTTCAATACGTAATGGGAGATGAGGGAATTCAATTCAAATGATTTATGTGTAAATTCAATATACATATTATTTATAATTTCAATAAACATTTAAAAAGAAAAATATAGCTCTAAAAAGTAATTAAAAATTTGTCTCAAATGTGGTTTTTCGAAATTTTAGTAAGTTCAATTAATCGTATAAGCTATATTAGTGATGACGTAATTTATGGTCCGTTGACAAATGACAAAAATAGAGGTTATAGCATCTATGGGTGATAGTTATTCATTAACATTTTATTTATATTATTTTTAAGATTTTATTTATTTAAAAATTAAAAATAATTTGTATACAGACTACAGACCTTTAAATTACTTTTTCTAATTATGACATATAAAGTGATATTTTTTGTAAGCGCAGCAAGTGTCAAAATGATATACTTTATACAACTAGTTACATAGAGTTGATTATGAAACTGGTCGAAAAATTCATTGTCACCAGTTGCGAAAACAAATAAAAAAACTTTTTTTTGGTTTTATAATCAATATGTTCTTATCCTTATTTTCCATTCTAAGTCAGCACAAAATAATCAAAATACAATACACGACAAAATAACCCACTTGAAAACGAAATTACTTTAACAAGGAATATGAACAGACTACAAGTCGTTGAGAATTAATTAATATGGTTTTGGTTTTCTATTTGTCAATAAAATGAATGAAGTTAGGCATATACAACTAACAATACAAGAAAGTAATATTGGTTGCATAGATGTCAGTAATTTTTTACCAAAACACAATTTTATAAATAATTTAGTCAAAATTAGAAAAATATTGTAACACGTTACGAAATGCCGTTTTATGTAACTCGTTCATGTTGTGGGATCCTGCAAATATTCACTCGTTACATAAAATAAAGCATTTTGTAACTAGTTGCATAAATAGCTATTTTACGACCTGATAACAATAAAAAAATGTATACATCAATTTTAATGACAAAATAGTTTTTGTTAAAAATCAACTGTCATTGGACCACAAATTACGTCACACTAATAAAGCCTAAGTATGGCATATATTATCCAATAAGCTACAGCAACAAGTCAGAACGATGTCTATCTTGAAATTGAAACACTGCTTCGATCAAAATATAAATAGTACATTCCCACTTATTTATTATAATGGTTGTTTTTCAGTTTCAAATAAGGAAGTAATGACTCCCGTCCTGTGGAGCAGGCGGACATAATTGTTTCACCCGGTCATTTATCATCGGGGTAGTAGAAGTCCATCTCAAATGGCAACTTCCAAAAATGGAACATCTTGGCGACATTATTAACCTGCAGGACTTTGACCCGAGAGGTTAGCTAGCAGCTGTCCCTAGACATTCCCCAGCGACAACCAGCAGGTTTTTGATGAGTTTATAACTTGCAGGAATTTGATGAGCTGGGAAGATGGATGTCTCTAGACACTCATTAGAGACAACCAGCAGGTTTTTGACGAGTTGAGAGGCACTCTCCCAACCTTGCAGATACATAGAATAAATCCATAAAATAAAGGATTTATTATTATTTCTGGGGAAAATCACTATTACATAGAATATCCCCTTGCTAATCTCTGTTAAGTATAAATATTCCGGTTATATAGAAACTGCGGAGCCACTCTGAAATATAATATGAGGTTAGCTGTTTTCATTCTAAACAAATATGTACTTATACTGTTGAAATAATAATACAAATTCAATAACTATTAAAAAAAATCTAATTGTAAAATTGTTTTCAGCCTTGCAGAGAAGGCAACCACTGTTACAACCACCATATTTTATTTGCTATTTTAATAATGCACTCGAATTAAAAGGAGGAGAACTGCAAAAATATACCACAGAATCGTATCGAAAAGAGGGCATATAAGCTACTATCATTTGAAAAATTATTTCTTCATCTTTCATTGTAAAAAATGTACATTAAACAAAGACGATTTTTGAAGAAAATGATTGGTGGATAATTTTCTTTGATATTGGTGAACTTGGTGCAAACGTAATAAGTAAAGCAGATTTATTAAAGTAATTTAAATATCTGGCCATCTATTCTTTTTTATCAAATCGTTGTCTTCAAAATTTGAACTTCAGTAGGTAACTAAAACTAAAAAAATTAAAAATCAACTTTTCTTTATGTTATCTCAGATTTACATTTGAATTCTATATTTAAGATCACTATTTTCATGGTCAAATATTGTAAATTACTATAAATTACAATAGAACTCATAGTATCAGTGGCATTTAAATTTTAAAAGAAACTGTAACTAGAAGGAAGCAATGATTGTAGAGATCTTTCAAAAAATAAATGAGTACATAACTATTATATCTATCAGAAAATAAAACTTGTATTTCGTGCAATTTTGTTGTGTTAAAACAATTTTGCACGAAATACAAGTTTTTCTGTTTTCTTTGCTGATCTAATCTATGTGCACACAGCCCTTAACCTCTTTTGGTTCCTTAATATTATATCTACGGTTGTGACAAACTGTACCAATCTTTAATGGAACCGAGTTTACAAGAAATTGTAATTGTGGGTGAAGTTGTCACTTTCTTGAATGTTAAAAATGTATTACAAATAGCCAATTCAACTTATTACCTCATTTTGCTATGACTGCTAGTTTGTAGCTATTTTTATGCCGTCTATTAACTAAATGTGAATATTAAACAGGTGTATACAAGGTGATTCGTTTCAATAATTAACAATGATCCAATATGTAATTTAACCATTGAGATAGAATGACAGATGAAAACACTTTGCGATGCCTGACTGATGGAGAAGTGTAATCAAAATGGCGACTTAAGAGTTGTACTTTATAATTTTATATTTGAAGATTGGTAGAATAAAAATGTTTTTATATTATATAAATGAAGCTATTCTAAAAAAGCAATTCTCACTAAAACTGACTAGCTCCACTACCTCAAGTTTGACACATGATGTAAAAGTGTAATGCAAAGGTGCAGACATTTTTAGTATCATCCTAGCATCTCCTCTTTATTCTATCTCAATGATTGAACAGAAAAGTTTTCAATAATCCAATAATTGAAAACAGAACTGCTTAAAAATAATCTAATCAAAAATGAATCTCTTTGCATATTGAGAATTGTATGAATCTGTGATTCTAAAGAAATTTCAGAAATTAGGGTTTGTTTGAAAGAATAAAATTTTAACTAAGTAAGTCATGATATTTTGTACATACCTACATTGGTAATGTCTTTCAGGTAAACTCTTTACTGTTGGTTGCATGTTCTGTTTTTAGATTTTTTTAAATGACTTTGGGAATGACATTTCTTAGAGTAAATAAATGTGTAAAGTATGTCTGTAATAGTATTTAATTTTTTATACTAGCTGTTTATATATGTATATAAATGTAATAAACTATTTATTTTCATAAATGCTTTGTAAGAAACTGATATTTTTATTATACCAGATTCATTATCTTTTACTACAATAACAAAATTCAAAGCTAATAAGTAATAGTAATTATTTGAACATATTTTTTTAAATACTTAGTAATAAAATGTTTTATCAAATGATGCAAATAAGATGGTTTAACATAAAACCCAAACAAACGCAAAGTTAGTCTGCAAATTTAGTCTTCTTATTGATAGGAGACCCATCACCTTCTTTATATTGAATGCCATGTTTCACAAATCTATTGGCTACAGCTTGGTCTATTTTGGGCCTTATTGTTTGTCTCTCATGGGCCTAAAACATTTCTCTAATAAAGACAAAGCATGTTTTCAGTAAAACAAAGTATACCTGTTTTGCCTTCATCATATATTCTTTTACTCTATTTAACTGGTTTTTAACATCGTTTTTATTAGGATCTGCATTCTTGGTTCGTAAATATAACCAATATAAAGTATTTAAAGTATAAGCTACAAATAAATCGTAATCTATCTTTTCTTTCAGTGTTAAATGTTCGTAGGCATCTGCTTTTTGTAGTTTTTCAATCATATTTTCAATCTTCTCAACGCTATTGTGAAAGTTCATCAACTTTTCTTGAACAGGTTTATCATTTTCTAAATCGCCAAAATCCATGCTAAATATTAAAAATACACAAATAAAAGATCAATATTTAAAGAAAAAAGTAAGGTTATTTATTATTATGTTCTTCTTCTCTTTTTTTGGGCTGTGTCCATGAGACAATTTACCCAGGGGACCTATTTTCAAAGTATAGGTCTTTTCCTTTGCATCGAAAGTGTAGCACTGGGCTACACCGATTCTGAAAATATCGTTCCATATATACAAATTGTATAGATGGAACGATATTTTCAGAAGTGACGTAGCTCAGTGCTACACTTTCGATGCAAAGGAAAAGACCTTATGTGAGCACTTTCTCTCAAGATTCTCATCAGAAATGTCATACGTCAATGTGGAAACGCTGTATTTAAAGACATCGAGGATTAAAATTCTTAGGAGAATTTTAATTATCTCTAAATAAACCGAGAGAAACAGTCAGTGAGTTCACACTGGCCCTAAGAGCCCTAAAAATACGGTTTTACGTTGACATATGACATTTCTCTTGATGGAAATGAATTCTCTCGAGTTTGAAAATAGCTCCCCAGCTAGCTCTTGAGGGACTGTTTTTAGGCCCGTATTTATAAACAGAACTTACCTGAGTCGGACTTGGGTAAGTCACAAAGCACGTATCTTCTAGAGACCCCACGCCAATGTTAAACTTTTAAACCAAATTGGCGCCACCTTGTGTTTGGAGCTGGAACTAAAATGACAATTGACAGATGGCGGTAAATTCAAATTGTAATTTTTAGGAGTAGGTAGTAGTTTTAAATTAAATTTTAAATGATTTCCACATAAATTATTTTATAAAATAAAGAATGGAACTAGTAAGTTCGAAACTTTTATTTTACAAAATAATTTAGGTCGATTATACCAAATTTGAGGAATTAATTTGTTATAAGCAGGGGTCTGATGTGAAGAGTTGGTTCTGCATATTATTATTAAATAAATATAAGATATATCAATAAACAATAAAATAGAACATTCTTAAAATATGTTTATTAATAACTTAAATAATATTATTAGATAAAAATAAATACAAATAATAATACATATTTAACGAATACTTACTTGCAGCAAATAGGTATATAATCTCAAATCTTTAAAATACCTATCAATAATTTAAATGTGAAGTAGAGACTAGGATATTACATTTTATTAACACTAAAGTTATATATTTTATAAATGTCTTTTTAACTGAGGACAAATGTAATATAGGTATTCTATTAAAAGGTGAATCCTTTTAACTATTCATTCAATGATAAACAGGTATTTTCCTTCCAAATACAGATGGTGGTATTACTCTCTTATGTGAAAAATGATTTCGGAATCTAGTCCAGTGATAAATTGATTATCAATTAGTTGTTGTACTCGTTTGTGTTTTTATGATGCAGATGCATGGTGAATATATGGTGAATCAATGAAGTTTTTCTCGAAGTTTTCAACGTAGCACCAAAATTATTGCAAAACACAGTAGGAAATAAAAAAGCGAAACATCACACTTTTGCAAATAACTAAGACGAAACTATAAACAGAAACCAAAAGCCAAAGCAACAAAAAATCACTAAAATCAGACGGAAAAATGAAACTAACCAAGAACATAAATAAATACACGTCACATCTTTGGAGTCTTTCTCCCATAAGGCTTAAAAATGGAGTAAGAAATCATAATTTCACCAGTAGCCCCATCTAGAGTTTGGAGCAAATAGCATAAAAAATGTCAGTTGTCGGTTTTGACCTTGGTCATTCACGTGGAACCTCTATGTGCTTTGTGGCGGCCGCTCCTTGAGCGAAATGTCAAAATACACCGTTCATACGTGCCACTCAAGAGCGCTACCAGATCGATCAGGTAGCATGTGGCGCGGATGAACGCAGCCAGTGTAGCACTGAGCTACGTCACTTCTGAAAATATTGTTCCATCCATACAATTTGTATAAATGGAACAATATTTTCAGAAGTGGTGTAGCTCAGTGCTACACTTTCGATGCAACGGAAAAGACCTAATATATGCTCGAAGATTAGGAGTGTGTGGAGCTGGACAAAACGAACGCAGCTGATATATCAAAAATACTTTGACATTTGACACTTGAATGACTTCAAGTGTGTTGTGTCTAATTTTTCATAATATTTATATTAAATTCAATTTGTTTTTTGGTTTAACTATTTTTAAAATACAAGATAATCATGGCTGATAAAGATAAAGCTAAACCTGCACAATCCAAACATATTCCTAAAGATGGACAGGTAATAATGTCTATAATGAAAGAAATGGGCATTACAGACTACGAACCGAAAACGATAATTCAATTAACAGAATTTGTATATAGATATGCAACATCAATATTAGAAGAATCCAGAATGTATGCTAACAACTCGAAGCAAAGATTTTTAGGTGTAGATGATGTACGATTGGCTTTGCAGTTGACTTGTGAATCGACATTTACAACACCACCTCCTCGAGAAGTTTTGATGGAACTAGCTCATGTTAAAAACTATTCTATATTACCAGCAGTAAAGCCACATTGTGGTTTAAGGTTACCACCTGATAGATACTGTCTATCGTCCTGCAATTACACATTGAAGAGTACCAAAAAAGGTATGAAACCCAATTTTGGACCTGGAGGACCTGGTCTCAAATTAACTCCCAAGACGAATATAAATTTCCTTAAGCGCCCTACAGTGGGTATTACAAAACAAACTGTAACAATTCCTAAACCTGTAACTAAAGTTATTTCTTCGCAACCTCAAAAAACACTATTGAAACCAAAAATTGAAATAGTACAGAATGTTCAAATATCTCCAGGTCATGATGATATGGACTTTGAACCTGGTTCCTTAAAGAGAAAGCGGGAAGATGAATCTGAACCAATGCACATGTAGGATAAGTTAAATTGAGAAGTTATAAAAATACGTATTTAAAGAATTGTATTCTATATTTAATTTGAATAAACATTTTGTAATATCCCTTGCTTTTTTTCTGATTAAAATGGTAGTTCCACAGAGCTAGGACAAATTAGAAGAGGTAGTTGTCACATACATCAAATGAAAATATTTACATTAGGACCAACAATAAGTTGCATAAATATAGACATCTTAGTTCTAAGCTATATATCTTGTTTTTATTTAAATTGATTTTTCTTATTTTAAACACAAGAGACCACTCACATAGTACAAAGTACTTTTTAAATAAATAATAGGTCACTTTTACAGTATACAAATACTATTTTCTACACCCACATGAATATTATCTACCCACAGACTTCAAAACGAAAAAAATATGCTGTGTTTAACTGAATGAATGTATTTCATATCCATTCTAGGTAGTAAGAACACTGGCAAAGAATAAAACGTGTCTCGTTAATAGGTCATATGATTGAACGTTTACGTTATCCGTAACGTACATGTTAGGCCGAATTTTAACAGTAATGAGGCAAATTCGTAAAATGGAAAACTTTTTCCAACACATTACTGTTATTTTCCGCCTGTTATGTTCTAATTTAACAGTTTTCCATCATACGAATTTGCCTGGTTACTGTTAAAACTTGGTCTAACATGTACGTTACGGATAACGTAAACGTTCAATCATAGGACCCACGATCTCGAGCAAGAAACCACTTGAAGATTTTTTACTAGAAATGGTTAGGTATAGAAGAAGAAGATTTTTTGAAACTTCCGCTGATAGAATAAAATGAAATAGATTCAATTTGTCAATTTTTATAATGACCAATTATGTTAAAAGAAAGTGTATATGGGTATATTAACGGGTAGGCTAAATAAATAATGATGTAAGCTCATGAAGACTAGAGAGAAGGAAACGAATCGGAAATGGTCAAATTTCAAATTTCCGTCCTTTTTTATAAAGTTCGCGAAATTGACTGTAGAGTTGGCATGTCGAACAGCAGCGTTGTCAATTTTCAATGTAAAGTCAATGTAAAATGAAGTGATTTTTTAAAAAATTGTTGAAAAGAATCAAAATAATGTGAAAAAAGTACCTGAGCACAAGTAACATGAGTGACAGATTGTAAAGCAGGATTCAAATCAAATTTAAAACTAAAGAAAAGACGAGGACAAATCAATTCAATGTCTTTTTAAAGCTTAAAATGTAAGTAAAATTTATGTCTAAATATAATATTTATTGTAAACTAGTCGCGCAAAATCCAACCCTCTGTGCTTTGTTTACTCTTTGCCCGCGGTATGAAGTCTAACGCTGGCAATATAGAGACAAACTCACCGCTTCTAGAAACCACCAGAAAAAGCGGTACGTGGCCGTTGAGTCAGAGATGGAATTATTCGACATCGCGTCTAGAAACTACTTTATATAAATAGCGCGAGTTGTCGACGGACGGGCAGATTGAATTTAAGTGTTGGACAAAAAAGATAAATTGTAATAAATAAATTAGAATTGTGAGTTATATTAGTGCCTAAGGATTATATAAATTAATTAGTACGTTATAAATAAATTGTAAATAGTGTGTTTTAAATAAGTAAACTATAAAGAAATTAAACTATCGTTACAATAATTTAAAATATATATATTTTTTTATTTATTATTCTTTTACAATTTTTCAAACAAAATTCTTTCTCATGGAATACCACAAAAGCCCTTGTAAATGGGTTTAATAACAGACTGGTCGATATCAAAAGCACCTTGGGTCTCACATTCCTTATTTTGTACATTTCAACGACCTCTCTTTTCGAATACTTAGGTATTTCCCAGCAATATCATCGACACAAGCAGTCAGCTTACAAGGCCGCCGAGAGCCTGACCGGGCCCCAGGACAATTCTCCAGATCGGGCCCCGCGACAATTTTATAAAAAATAAAATAACAAATCCTCAACTTGAATTTCAACCAAAAAAAAAGTCTTCAATCAAAAATTTCTCCTCCTCTGCATAGAACTTTCCACCTCTTCCGTCGAACATCTGAAAGTAACAAAGAGTAACACCCGCTGCCGGGCCCCCCCTTATACCGCTGCCGGGCCCCCATTTGAGTCCGGGCCCCGGGAATTGGTCCCGGCTACCCCCCCTCTAGTTGGCCCTGTCGTCGATTATATACGTCGACATTTTTGATAATATTTTACAACAAATGAACTCTCGATTTCAAAACTTTAACAAATTAAAATTTGTTGAATTGTGCAATTTTAATATTAGTAACTACGATTCATCAAAATTTCCATTGGAAGCTTTTAATTCACTAAAATTAAATTATGAAATTTTTTTTCGATATTCCATCATTAAAGTCTCAGTTAAGTGTTGTTTATGAAGCAACTGAAATTAGTGATAAAAAGACGCCCATCAATGTGTTAAATTTTCTTGTAACAACTGGTTTAAATAATTGACAAGGGGTTTAAATAAGTTCGTTTGTGAAGTCGTCAAGTTGTGTGAATTAGTACTAACCATCCCAGCCACAAGTGCGTCAGTTGAGCGAAGTTTTTCAGCTTTAAAGCGCATTAAAAGTTTTATACGAGTGAAGACAGACTCTCTAATTGAAAAACAGCTTGTTAAACAGTTATCAGAAAATTCAAAATTTTACGACGATGTTATAGACAAATTTGCAACCATTGAGGATAGGCGAATAGATCTTAAGTATAAATAAATGTCAACTGCTGTATCAACTGTGCGAAAAATGCTGAAAAAAAAACTTCAGTTAAATGCTTTTTTTACGTTTAAATAAACCAAGGAAGCTTTTCAATGGTAAGTTTTTTTTATAGCTTCTAGTACTAAACTAGGTAATAAAGTAATAGTAACACTTCAAAAATCTCAATCTCGAATATCCGTAGTACTGAGGAAAAAAAAGCAAGATTTTGACAAAATGGTGAATGTGCCGCAAAAAATTTTCGCCTGCGGTGCTGTGCTTACTGGCCTGTGCTGTATTTTTATACAATTGCTTCCCCTTCCAACAATGTCACCGCACGCCACTGATAGCAGGTAATATGTAATATGACATTTTGACATTTTTAAAAATTTGTTCCAATCTGTTGCAACAATCGCAATATTGTATGGTTTAGTCAGTGTTTAAAAATATTTTTTATGAATCTTCCTAACTAAAGTAAGTATATTTTGGGATTTTTAAGAAAATTAATTTTAAAATCATCTAAAAATTAATAGGGCTAGGGAGTAGGGACTCTATGGGGAGTGTGTAAGAAAGTAGATTAAATTTTAGGGCAATAAAAAATACAAAAGAGGTACCTAATTAAGCGTTTAAAATAATTTTAAACACATTATTACCATTTTCTATCTAGAGTAAACTACCACAGTTTTAAAGAATATCAATAAACATGTACGGGGTGGGTGGCTCAGTGGTAGAGTCTCTGCCTGTGGATCCAAGGGTCCCAGGTTCGAATCCCACCGTTGGCCGGAATTTTTTCATTTAATTTCATTATTTAAAATTAATTCTGATGCCTTGGTAGGATTCCCCACTCGACCATTCACTGTTGGGTTAACAGTGCTGTTCCTAAAGTGGCGCTGGGAAACAGTAACAAAGCCTACACAGAACACGAGGCGAAATAACCTTAGCAGTTGAATCCGATGACACAAAAAAAAATAAACATGTATTCTGTGGCAAATGGAGTTATCCCGATGTCAACGCTAACTTAAAAAAAGGTAGGTAACTAAGGTTTATTAAAACCGTCATTGTAGTAGATATATGATTAACAACATGTTTTTCCAAATACCTACATAGAATCTGGAGTGATCAATAATATTTCACTCATGTTTTCCAGAGTTCTTTTTCTATTGTTATCTTTTTAAATCCCCTTTTCTATTTATTAAATAACTATTAATAATCTAATGTGATTTTGATATTTTTCCGATTTTTCCTCATGTAAAATCAAAATTTTGTTTTAAAAAGTTAAAATACACCACTTTAATGCACAGCAACCCATCTAGCTTTGAATTATTTCAACCTACTGTGGAAGTAAATATATCAAAGTAGTGATCTCTCGTTTTCTTTAACTAATTATATTGTTGTCTAGGGTGAGATTACAGAACGTCTGCAACTTTGCAGATCTGCAAATATGGCGGCAACTTTCCAGATCTGCAAATATGGCGGCAACTTTGCAGATCTGCAAAAATGGCGGACTTACATATATGCAAGTAACAAAAGTTTTCGTATTCCAAAAAAGATCTGCAAATTCGCAATGTTTATTGTGGTTTATTACCCCCAACAACACTATACCCAAATCCATTACTATGTTTAAAAATCCGATAACCTGAAACCACGAACTGTATTCAATCAAAAGAAACAGAAGACTTCATGATTGTAAGATGTTCTAACCTTCTTAAGGGTGGATTTGGATCTCACCCTAGATGTCCTAAGATATAATGCATTTCGTCACAAGTAGATGTAGAGGCCAGTAATTTTTTGAATATAAATGTTTAGAACGTTTGTTTGATGTAATTTTTCAAAGCACTAAAATAAAATAAACTTTATTAAGGACTTTTTAAATGAAGGTTTACTCAATGTTTTAGTACTTGATAAAGTTTTAAAAAATACATAGTTGTATAAAATGGCTATTTATGCATTCAGTTAAGAAATGCCTTATTTTTTGTAACGAGTGAAACTTTGCGGGACGAGCAGAGCGAGATCCAGTAAAATGGCGAGTTACACAAAACAGCATTTCGTAACAAGTTACATACAATATTTTTGATTTTGGATACAATATTTTGACTAGATTATTTATAAAATTGTGTTTTGGTAAAACATTATTGACATCAATACAACCAATATTATTTCTTGTATTGATAGTTGCATACGCATAACTTCATTCATTTCATTGACAAATAGAAAATAATATTAATTTATTCTCAACGAATAAGTGTTGTAGTGTTTATATTGTTTGTTGAAGTTATTTATTTTCCAAAAAAGTATGGGTTATTTTGTTGTGTATTGTGTTTTGATAATTTTATTTTGATTTAGAATGGAAAATAAGGAACAAAACAACATTATTACTAGGTTGTAAGTTCACTAACCAAATTATATTTATAGGTAGGTATATATTGATTTTAAAAGAAAAACAGAATTAATTTTATTTATTTTTTCGCTGACAATGAATTTTTTGTAATTTTGACACATAAAGTGACATTTTTTGTAATCGCAGCAAGTGTCAAAATGATCTACTCTACACAACCAGTTGCATAATGTTGAACATTATGAAATTGATTACGAAAAATTTATTACTCACCAGTTGCGAAAAGAAAAGAAATAAAAATGAACCTTTTTTGGTTTTATAATCAATATTCAGTAGGGTGTCCGTTATTTACCAATTTGATTTTTGTAAATTTAACGCTCTACAAAAAATTCTTAGTAATTTTTCCATAAATTCACTTGCTTAAAAGTTATTCAAGTTCAAAGTTGAACTAAAAATAACTTATTAATTTTCTTTGTATTTTGACTTTCTTCTTAATAAATTCTACTTTCTTCTTTTCAATAATTTTGATAGAGAAAATAGCTGAATCAGATATTTTTGCAATAAAGAATAAATTGTAAAACAAATAATGATAGTTTTTCAGTCAAAATACAAAGAAAATTAATAAGTTATTTTTAGTTCAACTTTGAGCTTGAATAACTTTTAAGCAAGTGAATTTATCGAAAAAATTACTAAGAATTTTTTGTAGAGCGTTAAATTTACTACAAAAATAATTGATTGCCGCAGCTTTGTATGAGCTGGCTGAGGAACAAAAAAATTGCCTTTGTGGCACGGTTTATTATCAATATTAAGGGCTTATATGGGTTCGATTTTTTTTTTGGGTCATACACTAAAAATTTTAGGGGCGCTGCAAACTCAAAAATAAAATTGGTAAATAACGGACACCCTAATATTCAGGGTGCCCCGAAATTAGACGGTCATATTTTAACATCGTAATCTACATCCTAAAATAGGAGTAAAAGTTCAAATAAACATAAACGTTTCTTTTCCGAGATACAGGGTGTTAAAAGTCCTGATGACACACTTTTGTAAATATTTTCTAAACGTTAAAAGACAACTAAGTGAAATTTGTTACAAGTGCTTACCTTTTTACGCTCTATTTAATGGACTAAACCCCAGTTTTTGATCATCTTCATAGGTGGGGCTTAGGGTAAAATTGCCCAAAGTTTTTTTTTTGATGACAGTTTTAACTATAAAATTTGGAAAACCAATGTTTTCTTTGTAATAAAGCTACTTTTGTTGCATCTCACTAGGACGCACCATTTTCAAGAGAAAAGCATTTGAAAATTTTATGATAAGTTGATGTTATCTTATTCGAAAGTATACCAATAATTAGTAGGCCTGTGAAATCAGAAATTTAATTTTTTTTTTAACTTTGAAAACCCAGTGACTAAAGAAATTTTAGAAAATATTTACAAAAATGTGCCATCACGACTTCACTTGCAACACCCTGTATCTGGAAAACGAAACGGTTTCGGACCTATGTGTTTATATGAACTTTTACTTCTATTTCAGGATGTAGATTACGCTTTTAAAATATGACCATCTAATTTCGGGACATCCTGTATACATGTATTTATTATTATTGAAAGTTTAAATCAAAGAAGAGCAGGTTGACTTATAAAAATTGAGTTTGGTTAAACCTATAACCTAGTAATAATGTTGTTTGAGTCCTTATTTTCCATTCTAAATGAGCACAAAATAATTAAAACACAATACATGACAAAACAACCCACTTTTTTGAAAACTAAATAACTTTAAGGACCAGTTTCATAATTTTCGCAACTGGTGATATAATGAATTATTCGAAACCAGTTTCATTATGTTCAACATTATGCAACTGGTTGCAAAAGCAGATCGTTGTGACACTTGCTGCGATTACAAAAGATGTCACGTTGTATATGTCAAAATTAGAAAATAGCTATTTATGTAACCAGTTACGAAATGCCTTACATATTTGCGGTACAAGCGGACCGAGATCCCGCAAAATGAACGAGTTACATAAAACTGCATTTCGTAACGTGTGTTACATGCAAGATTTTTTCTAATTTTGACTTTTTACCCGTTATCCTTAAAGGAGTACGTCAAAATTTTTAACCCTCAACATTTCTGGGCAGTTTTCAATAACGGTGTTCAATTTAAAATTTTCGAATTTTTGATTTTTCGATTTTTCCATTTTTCGATTTTTCGATTTTTCGATTTTTCGATTTTTCGATTTTTCGATTTTTCGATTATTCGATTTTTCGATTTTTCGATTTTTCGATTTTTCGATTTTTCGATTTTTCGATTTTTCGATTATTCGATTTTTCGATTTTTCGATTTTTCGATTTTTCGATTTTTCGATTTTTCGATTTTTCGATTTTTCGATTTTTCGATTTTTTGATTTTTCGATTTTTCGATTTTTCGATTTTTCGAATTTTCGATTTTTCGATTTTTCGATTTTTCGATTTTTCGATTTTTCGATTTTTCGATTTTTCGATTTTTGATTTTTCGATTTTTCGATTTTTCGATTTTTCGATTTTTCGATTTTTCGATTTTTCGATTTTTCGATTTTTCGATTTTTCGATTTTTCGATTTTTCGATTTTTCGATTTTTCAATTTTTTGATTTTTCAATTAACTGAATTAACTGAAAAAAAATTGGGTTTGGTTTTTTGAAAATATCTTAAAAACTCTTTGACATTTTCCAAATTTGAAAAAATGTTCAAAAAGAGGAGGAAATTTCCCAAAAAAAATCCTGTAACCCGAAACTGTAGGAGCAATATTTATAATTTTCCCAGAGGGTTGAAAATACGGCCGAAAACGGCGACTCTGGTTTGCGTAAACTCCGCCCACTGAGGACCTTTAATGAATAAATATTATTTAAACTTATAAATATAAAAATTACGAATTGAAAAAATGTAAGCATCTACTGTATAGATGAATAAACAATAATCTGCGGTCAAAAAATTTTTATCGCGTTTTTTCTATTAATTATGTATTAGTTAATTAACAATTTTTTCCTACTTGTACATTAACATTGCAAGTGCGATAATTGTTAAATAACAAATCTGAGATTTTTCTGTTTTGGAGCAAAGGTCTCATAAGAGATTCCCGTTGGAAAAATTAAAAAATGGTTACTTTTCACTTTGTTATTAACAATTTGCTTAAAAATTAAAAAGCTTGATTAATCATTGAAAAATTTTTTTTTATTTATATTACTTTTGATCCGTTTTTTATCATCAGAAGCCAAATGAAAATAATTTTTAAAAATTTTTATTTACAATTGTTTAAAAAATTGTTATAAACAAATGCGTTGTTTATAAGATAATTTAATTTTTTTTTGGAAACGTTATCTTTGATGTAAATTATGATTTAAAAAAAAATCGTTCCTTAAAAAAAATTTTTATTGCTTAAAATCGGGTTTGTTAATTAACAATTTTTTTTAGCACTTGTAATTATTATTAAGGAATCTTTTTTTTAATAATAATTTATCTTGCTCTTTGATAACTAACTTATTTAAATTTTCATTGTTTATTTAATAAACAATTTGTTATAAAAAATTATAAACTAATCTTGTCATTAAAAATTACAATGAATTTTGTATCCAAAACATGTGATTTTGTACTGTACTGCGTACGGCCTAAGATGCCTAAAATTAAAATCCTTTTAAGTAAAAATAAAATTAGTGTTAAAAATACTCTTCCATCTCTACTGTTTTTATGTGTATATAATTCTATGCCCGTTCTGATATTAGGCAAAGGAGTAGCTATTTTTCGAAGAAAACGGTCGCTCGTATTATTTTGTATGACATAATATGGCTTCGTGATTTATTTTATATTTTACTTCTTGAGACTTGGGAACATTTGAGTTGGAATTATTTCCTTTTTTTTATAGTATTACGTTCCTGGTTTTCCGTAGGTCCAGGACGAATTTTGTGCACGCGACAACACAGCTGGACACCCTGATACGACTGTAGGTGGCGGTTCCTGCGATTTGTGTCGTCGTTCTCGGCGGAGAGCTGGCGCGCCGCCGCTACCGCCGCCGCCCCTCATTCGGTCATCGGGCCGACTCACATAATCGATAGGAGTTGTGTTAGTGGTGGAGAGTTGGAAGTTGCGGGAGTAGCGGTGATCGCGTTGTGAATGGTTTCCCGACATTGCAAACGGAGAAGATGCAGCCTCCGCCGAGAAAGGTACTGCTTACTTTACACCTAGCACTCTTTAGTTTGTACCGCAAGCTTTCCAATAGCCTTATGTCGAAAAGGAGTTGATTTTCGAGTTGCAATAGTGATTCGAAAGTGGAAGTTTATGTATCATTTAACATGTTTTCTGTATAACCTAGTGACATTTGCCACATTTTTTTTGCATTTACAGTTTACAATAAGCTTATAAGAAATGAGTATCCAAGAAAGTGTACCAATAGTTTAAGGACCTTTGGTAATTTAGTCCTTGAAACTTGGTTTTTGAAAACTTAATATTATTCTGATTTAAAAAGATTAAGATATCTAATTATTCTTGAATTTATTGATAAGAAATGATGAGGTATAAATATATGCCTTTTAATTTAGCTTATGTTCATCACTTTTTTTAGAGCATCTTAAACATTTCCTTCATAATATAATAGATAGTCATCATCACATTTAATGGTTCATTACTATTTTAAATTTATGGGTCTATTACAACTTTTTCTAATTTGATCCTTGTGACTTCGATTAATTACATTTTTAAATTTATCAAGGAGAAATGGGCGCCCTAGTGCCCTAGTATTTTAACCAGACGTGGAAGTTTGACGGCAAATATACAAGGTATCTCTCAGTACATCCGTTAACCATAGATGTGGGATACTTGACATACAAATTTTAAATTTGACTCGATATAAAAAAAATAGTCCCATAGGAAACATAATTTAAATTCAGGTCCGGCTTAACCAAAGTTGACCATTCCTTTCCTCCTCAAAAACAACACTTTGTACCTGTAACAAAATTTTACATATCAAACGAGATATTTCAAAAGAGCGGAAAATGTGATCTAGATCAAATTTGCGCATTTCGTTTTACCTAACTTTGTGTTAAAAATTAGTTTTTTTAATAATTTTAACAACTTTAGAATTCAAATATATTTTTTAAAGCAAAATGTGGAAAACATTTCTTGTTTTTTGTAGATACTATTTCAATACTTTGGCATAATATTAGAAATATCTTACAAGTCCGTAATTAGCTAATTTTAAAATATCCTGTATAATAAAAAATAAAAATAAGACCAGTGGTGGCTCGTGACCAAAATATTGGGGGTTCACAATGATATATTATAGATCTCAGTAAAGCTGTAGGTAAAAACTTTCACTGTTTTAGGTATTTTATGCCTTTCTATACCTATACCTTTCTAAAACGCTAAACGTTTTTTACCTACATCTGTACTGCGTTCTATATTCCCAATATATTGGTCACGAGCCACCACTGAATAAGACAATACATAATTTCAACTAAAGGTGTAGATAACTTAACCAATAGATACTGAAAAAAGAAAAACTCCCCTCTCTTGCAAATGCTTTTGTTGATAGTAGTTCATATAATAACCAAATTAAAAATGTTTATATACCAGCGATATAAGAAATTGAATTCAAAATTCTGATATCTAAACCAACCATTTTATTATTCCAAAATATTCAGATATTGCAAGCCTAGCGAATACTATCTTTAAATCCGTACTCAGTAATTTGGAAGTGAATTTAACTACTATTTATACAGATTGATTAAAGAATGGTTTAGATACTTTGGCTGTGCACATGGGCGCCTCAGCAGGGCGTCTGTCCCCTTGGATTTGTGATTTTGGATTATTTCGCCATGGCATTCGTCTATAGCCTGCGGCGTTTTGACCCTGAGACATTATTGGTCACGCGGTAAAAATGACAATAAGTTAGAAGTTTGGGTTTAACTTTTGAGACTAGAAATCAAGCTAAATTTGAAATATAAACATAAATTAAACAAACGAATCACTATTATATTCATGCTACTATAAACCTCGGCATAAACAAAGGATAAATCGATAAACTGAACTGAACTGAATTGAACTGAACTGAACCGAACCGAACCGAACCGAACCGAACCGAACCGAACCGAACCGAACCGAACCGAACCGAACCGAACCGAACCGAACCGAACCGAACCGAACCGAACCGAACCGAACCGAACCGAACCGAACCGAACCGAACCGAACCGAACCGAACCGAACTGAACTGAACTGAACCGAACTGAACTGAACTTTATGGTCCTTTTTGACGGTCATATCAGTTCTCAGTTAATTTTCAGTTTCAATTCAGTTTTCAGTTATATGTATGTGTAAACACAAAACAATGAAAGAAAAACTGAAACTGGATTTTCTAAAAGTTTACGTTGAAATGAAGTGTAAACAAACCTGTCCGTTACCGTCTCATTATCGCAGAAGATTTGTAAATATCGCTTTCTGACTTCTGACAAGTAGAAATTTGTTCTACAATTATAGATTTTTCTCTACAATAAATAGTACATATAGGGACAGGGACAATTTGTAGTAAAAATTTCCAAATATTTGTGGAGAATGTATGGTAGAGTTATTATCTACAATATTTAGTAAAAATATCCAAATGCATCATAAGAATTGTTCTACAAATTGTTATAATTTTTGCTATTCATTGTATCAATTTATATTAAAAATGTATTGTGTTTTATGAAAATAAATACGAAAATTTTACACAATAAATAGTAAAAATTTATACAAATTGTAGTAATTTTTAATAAAATTTGTAGTAGTATTCCATAATTATTATAATTATAACCTAGAAAAAAAAATGTTCCTTAATAAAATATTTAATTTATTGTTTTAATATAAAAGATACATAATTACATTATGTAATAAATAACAGTAATAATAGCGCCCTCGTCTCAGTTGGCTTTTCTGCACCTGAAAAATATGAAATAAAAATTAATACCAATTGAACTGTTCATACCCTTAAAACGGGGATATTTATCACCTTTACACTGATTTGGATATTAAATGACTAAGTCAGATAACTAACAAAAATGAGAAAGTAGGTATGTCACAATTAAGACAAAAAAACATCATTGAACTTGGCACAAAATTCGATCGTTGGGCAGAACATTCGATCGTTGGCCACAACTATTTTTTTAAAATAATCTACTAAGGTTATTTAAATTAGTTATCTAAAGGTAAATTATTCAGAAACAACAATAATAAATGTACTTACCACCAATAGAATTTATTATTAAAATTTTCTCAAACGCATCGGTGCTTATAATATAATAATGTGTTATAGGTACTCGTATATGTACAATGCTTTGTTATGTGAACATGGCGAACGGCTACTGCTATCTGGCCATTTATGATCGACGTCAGAAAACGTTGGCCAATAGCAGAATTCTGTTTTGTTCACATGACTTAGAATTTCTACAATATTATAGAATATTTTTGAACAAAATTGAATTTTTTTCATAAGAAGGGATGTAAAGTATTACTATTTTTTGTAGAGAAAATTACTATTTTTTGTAGAGATAATTATTAATATTTGTACAAATTTTTACAGAAGTTAGTAGTAGTAATTACGATAATTGTAATAAATTTCTACTTCTACAAACAATAGTAAAATATACTAAACATTGTGGACTTCTTTCCTATTGTTGTAGCATTTTATTCGACAATTCAATTGCTACAATAATTAATAGTTTTTAACTATAAATTGTAGTAAAATTTTCTACAAATTGTTAAGTATTTTTCTACAGGTCTACTACTACAACATTGTAGTAAAGTTTTCTAGTCACATTTTTTTCCGTGTGAGATTTTTGAAGTGTTACTATTACTTTATTACCTAGTTTAGTACTAGAAGCTATAAAAAAACTTACCACTGAAAAGCTTCCTTGGTTTGTTTAAAAGTAAAAAAAAACATTTAACTGAAGTTTTTTTTATTTTCTCCAGCATTTTTCGCACAGTTGACACAGCAGTTGACATTTATTTATACTTAAGATCTATTCGCCTATCCTCAATGGCTGCAAATTTGTCTATAACATCGTCGTAAAATTTTGGATTTTCTGATAACTGTTTAACAAGCTGTTTTTCAATGGATATTAGGGCTAAGTTAGAGAGTCTGTCGTCACTTGTTGAATTTCGTATAAAACTTTTAATGTACTTTAAAGCTGAAAAACTTCGCTTTAGTCTATTAGAATTATTAATGTCCGTTTTCTCTTCAAAATTTCTACTTGAAAATCCTTTTTTTAATAAAGAGCACACAATACAGACACAATTTACCACATTATTATTGTTCACAGGCACAGTACATAATTCCTCCATTTTACAAAAAGAAAAACAACTAAGAAAGACAAACCGAAATCTACCTAAAATCTAAGATTTTCCTCACACGTCGATTCGCGGTGCGAATTGCAATAAGCGTAAGGCGACGTAATAATCGCTGCCTCTCAACCGTATAACACGTGTACAAACAGACTGAAACTGTCGCTGCAAAGCAGGGTCAATAACACTAAGCGAAACCACTTGCAAGATGAACAGGTTATTTCAAGAGGCGCTTCCGCTGACAGACCGTTTGTACGTTTACACAAATAATTTTCTCATGGGTGGTGCGTGCGTTTACACACCAATGAATTATTAGTACATTTACGAAGTTTACGTAATGTTTCAGAGAAAATATAGTACCTAATTTAATATTAATTTTTATGCATTGTAAACTTAAAAATATTTATTTTTAAATTTCAAAGTGTAGGGAAGCGGTGCTTCCCCCGCTTCCATGGACCGCACGCCCCTGAGAAGAGTCCTTAAAAAATTACAATTTAAGTGGAGAAAAATAAAATAATCGTAAAGTTTTGGTGGAAAAAATGAAAATAAGAAATTTAAGAGTAAAATATTTGAGACATAAAATATTTTAGAAGTCAAAATAGAGCAATCGTTTATTTAGATAAAACATATATACACAGCGGACATACTTCTTCCAAAAATTGGACAGACGATTCAACATTTTCTGTTATTTCTAAAGGACAAAGGCTTATTATAGTTCACGGTGGGGGAGAAATGGGTTTTATCAAAAATAGTTTGTTGATATTCAAATCAGGGGCCAAGTCTGTATGTTATCATTCCGAAATGAATTCGGAAATTTACGGCAAATGGTTATGAGAGAAGTTAATCTTCCACC